TATGCTACCATGATTGTGTTAGTCTCTGTTGTTTTTGTTGCAGCAGGCTCACATGCCTACCCGTCTGGAAATTGTTACGCAACTGTAAGACATTTATAATGTGACTCAGGCATTCTTTCCCAGGGCTCTAAATTGCCTGGGCTCTAAATGGACCACAAAAAGAGAATTCTCACTGCTACCCAGGTTTGCCTTCCCAATATGTGGAGAATAATGAAGCCAGTGACAGGACTATACTTGACCCAACTCCCCGCATTGTGTGATGGTAACTGCATTTGAGGAGAACACCCTAAAAGGCAATGGAAGCTGGTCCATTAGGTCAAATAGGGGCACTGCCCCACAGTCTGTCCCCATCCTCAGTCTGCCCTCACCCAGCTCCCATCCATCTGCCTCCTTACGTACATCAGTGTCAGGATGCTGTCAGCTGCTCCCGGCTGGCTGCCCAGGAAAGTGTAAAGACAAGGAAAAGTTTCTTACAGTCCTTTTTTTATTTCAGACTTTACAGAGAGAGGCTATAGAACCCAGCCTCTTGGATAACGGCATTGTCCCAAGTGAATCTCCACCCCACCCCCCGTCTCTCCCACTTCCTCATTCGTCATCATCTCCTCTACAGATGCCTCTAAGTGCTGTCTGTCTCCAAGCTCTTTTCTCTCCTACTTTAAAGGCCCGCTGGCCTTCTTGGAGATGGTGAGTCTGGAATGCTTTCTAATGACAACGTGTCAGCTCCTCTGGCTCTCCCATTATTTCCCAGCTTTCCCCCTCATCTGCCTCTGAGTTGTGACCTCCTGCAAATCCCTGTTGTAAATCAATACTGTCTCCCTTTTCCTCCTCGCTGGAAGGGTCAGGATGGTGAGGTGGTCTCCACCATTCCTCCTCTGCCCAGTCCCTGACAGGTGGTGGCACACCTGCCAGCTTCCCCCTCCTTAGTCCTGGTACTGACCTTATAGAACTCAGCAAGGAGGAAAATGGGGATCAGGATAGAATCAGTGACTCTGTCTTTCTAGCATGGGCTCTTCTAGCATGAATCATAGAATCATAGAATCATAGAATCATAGAATCATAGAGTTGGAAGAGACCACAAGGGCCATCGAGTCCAACCCCCTGCCAAGCAGGAAACACCATCAGAGCACTCCTGACATATGGTTGTCAAGCCTCTGCTTAAAGACCTCCAAAGAAGGAGACTCCACCACACTCCTTGGCAGCAAATTCCACTGTCGAACAGCTCTTACTGTCAGGAAGTTCTTCCTAATGTTTAGGTGGAATCTTCTTTCTTGTAGTTTGGATCCATTGCTCCATGCCCTCTTCTCTGGAGCAGCAGAAAGCAACCTTTCTCCCTCCTCTATGTGACATCCTTTTATATATTTGAACATGGCTATCATATCACCCCTTAACCTCCTCTTCTCCAGGCTAAACATGCCCAGCTCACCTACTTTTTGGGCTCCCTGCATTCCACCCCACCAGTCTCAATAGTCACCAGTTGATAGGACACAATAACTGTAGTTCAAAACATAGCTCTATAGCTGCAGTGTGCAAAGTGGCAGGCTGCTGTGTGATGTACCCTGCTATGGTGCCCCTGCACAAGCTGTTTTAGGCCAGACTGTAGATTGTACCATGAGAATTGTATCCTAATCCTGTCTTCCCACAAAAAAAAACCCCCATGGCAGTAGCTGTTCACTGGGCCTGAACCTCACTCAATCAACCCCTTAGGACAGGAATGGGGAACTTGTGATCCTCTGGATATTGTTGGACTCCAGTTCCCATCAGCTCCGGCCAGCATAGCCAATGGTCAGGAATGATGGGGGCTGTAGACCAGCAACCCATAGCTTGGGTCTTATGTGTCTTCAAAAGGCCAGGTTACAATTCACCAATCTGTTGCTGGCTAGCATTTACAACCATCTCTTGCCATTTCTATATGTGGCAATATAGTGTTGTGTGTGTGTGTGTGTGAGAGAGAGAGAGAGAGAGAGAGAGAGAGAGAGAGAGAGAGCGCAAACTCCTCAGTTTGAGCCACATTCAGTCTTCTGGGTCAGTGTTTCAAATGTCGGGTGAAAAGCTCATTTAGTCTGAAAGAGGAAACAGTGAGAGAAATACTGTGAGGTAATAAGTCATAAATTTCCATTTCAGGATGTTTGCAGTAACAATGCATCATGTCTGGCTCTGTTCAAAGTTCCACGGTTGCACATTGGAACAGATGTGAACAGAACCTATATACCTTCAATTTATGACTTATTTTAGGTAGGTAGGCTGAAAAATAATTCTTCCTTTTTTAAAACTTGGGGTAGGGGTGGGGAGCTAGGCTGGGTTCCTGTTCCCATCTTGCTAATAATATTGAATATATGCCCTAGTCAAACTGAAATTAAGACATATAGCAAGAAGAAATGGACCCTTATTCCCCCGCTGAGTAATATCCAAAGAGAAACCAGCAGCTTATAATAAAGTAAGAAAAAGAGAAGGCTATAGACCCTCTCAAAAGTGTTCTTTTGGGGAAGCCACCATCCTGCTCAGTAAATTATCCACAGCTATGGATTATTTGCAGTTTGATGTTTCTTTTCTTCATTTAATTTATAGTCTACGCGTTCCCAAGGGTCCAGGGCATGTGTTGTATGGCAGGGATGCTGCACCCATCACTCTTCTGCCATTGTAATGGTGCCTCAAGCGGTCCAGTTGTTTCCATGGAAACAAGGGGTGGAACTTTGGCAAGGTTGAAAGCAGCTTTGGGGAAGGGGAAGCTGGGAACACTTCAGAGAGGACACTTGCTGCATGACTTAAAGGAAGTGATGTAACCTGTGAAGTTCCACCATAAAGTGGAAGAGGCCCAGAATATCAGGAGCAGGCTTGGAGATATCTGCTTTGCTAAGTAGCTAGAGCAGAGCAAAGAAGAGACTCCAGGCAGGCTGAGAGACACTTCACTGGCCTTTAGAGCTTGTGGTCCAGTTACATACAAGACGAAAAGAAGCTGCTGGGTGTTGTACATCTTTCTTACTCTGTGCCCCAAGCCAGGGGTACTCAACAACGCAATGCTCACCAGATGTTGCTAGACTCCAACTCTCACCAGAAATCGTGTCTCATACTGAGAAAGCCTGAATGAAAATGTCACATATACCCGTTCCTTATCAATTAACCTATATTCTGTCAAACAGTAGGAAAATAATTCAGATAAAGCTCGTGTATATTAACTGACCCCTTCAGCCGAGAGCTGTAACTACGTGCAAAGACTAAATAAAGTTCAAGTGAAGAAATGACCCAGCTCTAGTTTTGCAATATATAAATGCTCTTTCCATATCCTAAACACTAAAGAACACCTGTGGGGAAAGTACAACAAAGAGAACTAGTCATAAGACCTTTGGGTGTTATTGTATGTAGCTGTGAAATCCATTGAGCCTCTGGGAACTACCCGTCATGTGTTCAGAGGGCTCCAGATTACAGTAGCAACATCTTTCAGAACCAATGATGTGGAGTGCCCCCTGGCATGTGCTCACTTCTTTGCCCTTGCCAATATTTATATTGTAACAGCACAGAGGAATGTGGAAATTACCTAGAAGTTGCAGCTCTGAAGAGGCCAGGTGCAAGTGGGAGGGCTCCTGGTTGATGTTGAGGCCATAATACTTTGGAACACCAGTTGCTGGAAACCACAGAAGGGGAGAGTGTTCTTGTGCATGGGTCCTGCTTGCAGGTTTCCCAAAGTTGGCCACTGTGAGAGCAGGGTGCTGAACTAGGTGGGCCGCTGGCCTGATCCAACAGCCTCTTCCTATGTACTGAAATATGAGGGAGTGATATTACTATCTGTTCTGCTGCTACAGTCAACCAGAGAACTCTGATCCATTTGGCAGCTGGTTCATAGGCTGATACAATATAAGTTTCCTCAAATTCTACATTATCATTTTAAATATGACTTTGTGAAGAGAACAGAAACTGGAATGGGTAAATAATAAAATAAATTACGGTGCATATGCAAGGAATAAAGTAGCAGTGGAAGCAGAATTGCTAACAGTGGCTATAATTGATTTATGCTCCCGGTCATGCAGATATAATGAAATGTCTACATATTACAGTAATGTCACTCCCTTTAATAGTGAACTCGGCTGGTGAGTGCCGACAGGATTGTAGCCAAAATGGGGCCACTGAGACTCAAGAGGGAGTCATCAACATGCTTGAGGGAGCCTTGAGGTTTGCAGATACCAAAAAATATCGTTAGGAAAATATAACTAAGGGGTCAACCTTCCCCCCAAACTGAGAACTGAGCCGTCTCAGTAAATACCAAATGTTGACTGTTGGTTAGAAAAGGAAGATGGAAAATGGGGGTATGTGGGGAGTGAAATGATTTGCTTGAGCTCCTGACAGCTTGTGGTATCCCAGAGGAAGGCACAGTTGGCTCGAAGGAGCATTCCCTCATGAAGGCGAGGATACACTGCAACACTTTGCTGCAGGTCCCACTTGTACTTGTTTAACTTTAAAAAAATATGAGAATTCCTAATGGAATTAATGCATTTTTATTTATGCTTAGTCTAATTCTACACACATGTCTGCATGTAATCCTAGCTCACAGGGGTTTTTGGAAAGAGAAAAGTATGCACATCTTTTTACAAATTTAGCCCAGCAAATAGCTGCTAACAGGCAGATCACAGAACGTTGCTTTACAACATTTAGCTATTATGAAATTACTTGAGAACGGAGAGTAACAATGAAGGTTTTTGATTGGTCACTGGCTATGTCATGCACGCGTCAACATTTCCTCATAAAAAACACAGGTATGACCTTTTTACCTTGAAGTTTCCATGTCATAATAGCTATGAGGCACTCCTGGTTAATAGATTTCTGAGGGATTATTGCACACTTTCTGAGGAGCTGAAGTCGCTTGGCTTTTGGCTCCTGCCTCATGCTGCACCTGAGATGTGTGATAATCTCTCAGAAATGTGCTGCTTGTCAAGTCTTATGGCTTAATTATAAACATTAATGAAAGTCAGCTACAGCTTAAGAGGCTTGCCCATCTGTTTCTGCACTTGATGGATGGTTGTGGTAAGTCAAGAAAGCCTATCCGGACACATGGTTTAGTTACCTAGCGTTGTTTTTACAAGTCCTATTGGTTTTATCTTTGCTATTTATTTATTGAAAAGCGTTTCTATAAACCATAACGTCATACGTGGCTCCTTGGCGAGTGTGGCTCCTTGTGGCGCCAGGCAGCTGTGGAGGGGGGCTTGCTTGCTCTGTTTTAGAAGCGGCTTGAAATGGAGTGAGCCACTTTGAAGGCGCACTCCCAGTGCCAATCAGCTGACTGGCAAAAGGGGCTTGCTCCATTTTCACGAATCAGTTTGCATTCAAAGCTCCGTTTTCAGAAGTTGTTCATGCAAACAAAGCAAGCCTCTTCAAAAGGGTGCCTTCAAAGTTGCCTGCTCTGTTTTAGAGCATTTCTTAAAATGGAGCTCTGTTTTAGGAAGTGGTTAGAAACAGAGCCTTGAAAGCACACTCCCGGTACCAATCAGCTGATTTTCATTGGGAGCCCACCTTCAGAGGAGGCCACTGTAACAACCCACCAGCTGTTTAGCAGTCATAACATCCCCAGGTGTCCATTACCTGGTGTCAGGGGAATGGCACATGGCTGGTCCCGCTTACCTATCAAGTCGGACTGTGAAGGATGGGCTAAGTAATGATGCAGCTCATTGGCCAGACCCAGTTCTGCATCCCTGCACAAAAGGAAAAGGGCTTGAGAAGCAGGATGCGGAAAGGAATCTCAGACATCATATCTTATTTCCCCTACATGTTGTGATGTATCCTCACTGGAGCTGAACAAAACCTGTCTCCAAAAATTTCCCACACCATTTGTGGATCGTCAAATGCATGCGCCAAGTAGGGGCAGGGGGAGAGAATTTGTCAAATATGGCAGGGAATCCAACAGTTTTTTTCTCAGAAGATTCTCTCCTGAGATATTTTGTGTCACTTAATTTGCAATCACACTCATACCTTTAGCTCATATTGGTGGGTGAAGGAAACCATGGGCTAAGAGAGCAGTGGAAGGAGTAGGGGCTAAGCCTATGGCTTTCTTGAACAATATTGAAATCCTATTATACCATATCAAAACTTGATTTACAGTTGAGTACAAAATTCATAGATGGCAAAATTGGGTGGGTGTCTCTGAATAGTCTCATGGAGAAGACTGAAATTCCCCCAACAGTTCAAGGTAAAGGTAAAGGGACCCCTGACCATTAGGTCCAGTCACGGACGACTCTGGGGTTGCAGCGCTCATCTCACTTTATTGGCCGAGGGAGCTGGCATACAACGTACGGCGTCCATGTGGCCAGCATGACAAAGCTGCTTCTGGAGAACCAGAGCAGCACACGGAAACGCTGTTTACCTTCCCGCCAGAGCGGTACCTATTTATCTACTTGCACCTTGACGTGCTTTCGAACTGCTAGGTTGGCAGGAGCAGGGACCGAGCAATGGGAGCTCACCCTGTTGCGGAGATTTGAACCACCAACCTTCTGATTGGCAAGCCCCTGAACGCATAATTCCTCAGCCCTAGCCCCCCCTTCAACCAAACTGCAGTAGGGACTTTATTATGCAATCTGGGGAGTCACAGGTGCATTTGGGGTATATGTATTCAGAACAGTGAAAAACAGTTTCCTACCCTCCAGAAAATTTCTTCTCTTTGCTATAAAGATCTGACATTGAGTCCAAAATCTGATAACTCTTTTGCTATATATGGTGAATATTTGCTAGAGTGGGAAAGGACCACAGACCCATCTCCCTGACCCTATCCCCACTTTCAGAACACGTTAAACTGTGAGTGCAGATGTTGCCGGACTCCAACTCCCACCATCCCCCTGGCTATAACCCATGATGGCTATGCCTATGGGTGATGGGAGTAGGAGTGCAACAGCATGTAGAAGATTACTAATTGGCCTGTGTTCAGGCCTTGAGCAAGTCACTTCCTTCCCTCATTGAACCTATTCACAGCCTTGATGAACTGCTGCTTAACTACCCTCAACACTGGCCGTAGGGGCTTCTGAGCATGCTCAGTTCTCAGGGGGCTTAAGTAAATAAGAGCCAACATAATGAAACATAAGACATATCAAGCAACCTGTCTTCCCCACAATGGCCAGCCAGATGTGTATTGGAAGCCCACAAACAGGACATGAGGGCAAAAGACCTTTGCTATTTACTAATTACTCTTCTAGCTTGCCCTATGAAGCACTTAATCTGAAGAAAACCAGTGTAAACAAGCAAAATGCATCCAAGTGTGTGTCTGGGCTGGATTGTAAACAGAGATAAAACTGAATCTGCAAGCCTTTGTGCTCCTGCAAAAGAGGAATGTGGGTTATGAATGTTTGCAGAAGGAAATGAAGAGTGAACTTCATTTTAAATTATGAGAAAGGATCTCACTTGGGGGGGACAAGAGGGGAACTTCCATTTTTTTTGTTCAGAGTGCAACAAAACAAATGGTTCTGTGTAAGAGTGGAGACCAAACTGAGCATCAGTGGGCAGGAAAGTCACTGAAGAATAGTGATATCCAAGGTTTTATCTGTGCCACGTAGCAGATTTCATATTGCCAAAATAGAGCGGTATTCATTATTAAAGGAATAGTGTCATTCCTATAATCAAAATATGGGCCTCTCTTTTTCACTGCCTTCTTTTACGGGGTTTGCTGTGGGTATCTGACCTCACAGGCACACAAAGAATATTTCCCTTCTTTGATCTTTATCTTTGAACTTGAGCTATGAGTCATACTTGGAGCGACTGGTATACTGCAGATTAAATGCCATAGCCCATTCCTCTCCACTATTTAAAAGTATCTGCTTGGGTGCTGGCTATCATGTACTATGATTTATGATCCCTCCATCCCCCAAATTGTGAGTGTGTATGAGATATCTGAACTTTGTGTTTCCAAATTTTCTAATCAGATTCCCCCCCCACACACAGTAAAATAAAAATGTATTTCACTGAATTCTCCTTTTTGATTATGACTTTAAATGTTGCAATAATTGAAAATGTAAAGCAGGGTCTCTAGCAATCTCCATCTGGGGATTATTGACTGCTAACATGAGTGGAAGGAGGTCTTGTGTGAGGGAATTTCTGATGCCTTCCTTCCCGCATTCTGGGGGTCAAAATATTGACTGAACAAGTACTGTACTGGCCTGAATATAAGCCACACTCGAATATAAGCCGCAACTTTAAAATTGGAGGGGAGAAAAGAAAAAAGAAAAAAAACCTGAATATAAGCCGCTCCATTCCTCATTGCATACTGGGCAGGGGGAGTCGCACTGTGTTGCCGGCAGCCATTCCCCTTCCTCGCTCTCTCCCTTCCTGGCCTTGGGGGAGAGGACGGGGGACTACACATGGGACGGGCACCACTTTGCCACAGTCCTGGCGCTGTCTGCCCCGCACTCCTGGCTGCATACCATAAGGTCATGAATATAAGCCACACTTTAACTTTTCATGGTCGGAATTTGGGGAGAAAGTGAGGCTTTTTCAGGCCAATACGGTATTCCTCAAACAGTGGCCCACGACTCACCAGTGGGCCTCAATGCCCTGCCCGCTACAATACCTGTGCCATAACCTTTCATTTGGGCCAATGCCAACACCAGCACCTCCATGCATGCTGACTAAAACTGCCCAGGAGACAGAGATTTTGTGGGAGTAGATGAGGAAAGGTCACAGGAGGCACTAAAGGTAATTGGAAAGTACAATAATCTTTATTGTCATTGTCCCATACAGAACAATGAAATTGAAAAGTGAGATAAAAAGCTAATATTTATTGATAATAATTAATAATGCATAAATAAATAACTGGGAATAGAAAGTGCAAGGATAAGAAGGGGGATCTGTCATAGGAGTAAGAAGCGAATTTCAAAAGACCAGCAATGAGGGACTGTAGGGTCTGATGGGAAGGTGGAATTAGCTGCAAGCTGAGTGTAAAAGGAGAATGGAATAAAAATATAGAGCTGTGCAAAAATTATTTGAGAGGCATGGGGAAGGGGAAAATATATTTTAAAAAATGTATTCACCACTAAAAGCTGAGCCACAATATCTCCAGAGCAAATGTCTTGACTTAGCTTGTGGGATGATGAGTGATGGAGCTCCTCACCACGGGGGAAACACTGTGAGGAAGAATTTAGCAATTTCTGAAAATGGATTAGATATCAGCAGAAGGTGACATCAGTAATTGCCAGCTGATTATACCAAACTTTGCCTCCATCCGCCACGTTTTCCATAACTGGTGCTGCCCCTGCACTGCCATTTTGTGACTGGTGAGCCTCCACACAATTTTCAGTCATCTCAAGTGAGACCTGGGGGTACAAAGACTGAGAGGCCCTGAGCTGAAGAGTGAGGTGGTACCCAGAGGTTGCTGCTGGAGGAAATACAAACACTTTCCGAGCAATACTTTGCCCTGCAGAATTCATGTGAGAATTATGTCAGCTTCTATCTGCATAACCCTTTCCTTTCTTTTCTTTAGCAAATGACGGACTGTTGGAAGAGTGGGGTGGAATGTAGGAAACCCAATAGATAACTTCCCCTCTTCATTTTTCCCCCAGATTCCACTTCAGGAGTCTCTCAAGCCAGCATCTTTTTCAAGACTATGTCTCATTTTCTCTACATGCAGTTTATAAGAATGAGTATAAGAATGAGTAGCCACAGAAGGATAATTTTTATTCATCACCTCATGGTAAGATTTCCATGCAAAACAAAAACCCAAAACAAATATGCAAACTTGCCGTAATATGTCATCCTTACATATGAGGTAAGAGGAATTTGTTATTATGGTTGTTCAGCTGCCTGAAAAAATATTGCACCCTTTCCAGAGATTTGGATAAATGCTCAATAGCCATTTGACGTTACCACATGTAGCTGTGTTATTGTGGCAGTTGTGTGTGTGTGTGTGTGTGTGTGTGTGTGTGTTTTGCACTGGCTTATCCGGTCATGAAAAATACCTCTCTCTCTCTCTCTCTCTCTCTCTCACACACACACACACACACACACACTGTAAATCATTAAAAATTGCATTCTTCTAAGATAGTCCTCTATTTTGAAATCCAGTTTTTGGCACCTCTTTGTTTTTATACCAGCTGTGGTGTTTCATCTCCAGAGGCACACGGATGACATCTGAACATCCAGCACTATTGTGCTTAGAGACTCCACAAACAACCCCACCAAATCCTGTATGATAAATTTCCCCCTGATTAGTTAAACAGATACTGCAATGCGCCAACAGAAGGAGGCGTTGTTGACACAGCATCTCCTGAGACTCTGGCTATGTTTTCTTTGAGTTCTTCAGCATTCAGCCCTTGGAGCAGCGAGAAGACTGGGTGGCGGGGGGAGGAATCAGTTCGCATTATTCATTCCCAGTGATTTCTTTCTTTCTTGATTTCTTCCTTTCTTTTGGTTTTCATTATAGTGCCAGATAAAATCCTATCATGTGGAACTGAGGCCGAGAGCAGGCCTTTGAAGAGCAGAATATGAAAATATTGTTTGATCCAATCACAATACGCTTTTTAAGAGTCTAATCCATAAAGTCAGTTCTCTGTATTAAGGATGAAAGAAACAAACAGTGGTATGCAGTGTTTTGTGAGTGTGTGTTTTGAAAGGTATTTTTAGCTCTTGGTTTCTCCATCACCACCTCACCAAGGATACGGAAGAGTACCTAATTGTACCTAGTACCTTGTCATTGTGTGGAAGAGGAATGGTAAGATGGATAGGAAAAGGGGGAAAGGAGGACGGCTGAAAGAGGAAAATGTTATGTACTGAAGTTCTCACCCTGGGCCAGCAGGGGGATACTGTAGATAGCTTTCACTCAGGTCCACATATGCAAATAAGGGATTGAAAGTGACGTTCAGTGATTGGATAGTTACAGAAAATGGTTACAGTTGCGTTCTAGTGGAGCTCTATATAAGCAGGCTGGCTGAACCCTTCAGTTCAGTTCTGTTCTGGCCTGTGAATAAACAAGAGCTGTTTGAAGAATCGCTGTGTCGTCTGATATGTTCACCCACAACTTAACAGAAAAAATGGGTGGCCCTGCTTTCTGCTAGCATGCAGCCTCTGAAAGGTCACCCCAACAGGGACCGCAGCCCTCAAAAGAAAAGAGGCTTCCCAGCCCTGTAGAGTTTGAGGCAGAGGTCCTTCCAAGGGCTGCTTAATTGCTGGACATTCAGCCTGGGGCTATATGCACACTATCTTGAAGTCCCTTACACTCGGTCCTTTGAATTACTCAAAAATAAGTCCCACTGAGTCCAATGAGGCTTGCTCATCAAGTCTCAGGTAAGTATTATAAGACTACAGCCTGAGTCCTTAGAGGGAGAGGCTTGAAGGCTGCAGCCAAAGTTAAAATTGTCTGACTGTGGGAGTGACCTTGGACTCTTTGAGTGTTATGGCAAATGGGAAAGAGAAAGTAGATTTATCAACAACGCGATCTGGGAAGCCTTGGCAGCGAAGAGCGTCAGCATCTGGTCCTTCTGCACCATCTGCAGCTGTGCCAACTCAATCTAAACAAAGAGGAATGTCTTCTGAAGAGGCTCTAGCTGCGGTGCTGGGCAAAATAAATGAATCTTTGGAAAAACTCAGCAGGAAAGTAGATGAGACAAATATAAAAGTTGATGCATCTAATGCGAAGGTGGATGCCGCAAATGCCAAAATTGATATTAATACAGAAAGCATAAATAGTCTGGGACAAAAGGTGAATATTAATATAGAAGCAATACAGAAATTGATACAGGAGTCTGCCTCGACCCGTCAAATTGCAGAGGAAGCAAAGGGAAAAGTGGAAGCTGTGGAAGCCAAAGTAACACAGTTGGAAACAAAGAGAGTTCCAGATATTCAGAGACAGGTTGAAGATCACAGGCTGATTCTTTCTATGGTTGAGCTTAGGGAAAAACAGACGAACTTGAGGATCAGAGGTGTACCTGAACTGGAGAAAAATACTTTGATAGAATTTCTTACGCAGGAATTTGCAGAGTTTTGGAAGTTGGACTTGGAACAAGAAGGAGTGAAAATCGTGAGTGCCTTCAGGCTTGGAAGAGGAGGGAAGAAGAATAGAGTAAGAGATTGTTTGATTACCCTTCGATCCAAAGAGGAGAGAGATAAAATTTTGGGCTGGCACTTTCAGAAGCCCTTGGGAATATTGCAGTCAAGAGTGGAAATATTTAAAGATATCCCAAAATATCTTTTGGACCTTAGGGCCAATTACGGAGATTTGGTTGCTCTGCTGAGAAGGAACAGTATCATCTTTAGGTGGGAATTTCCTCAAGGCCTATCTTTCAGCTTTAAAGGAAGAAAAATAAAACTAAGATCAGTTGAAGATAAAGATAAATTTTTGAGTACCCATGAAGAGGACCTACAGAAGGGACTTGGAAAAGAACCAGGACAGAAGATCACCAGACAGAGTACTAGAGCAAGGAGTACTGGACAAAAGATCACCTATATTGGACTTAGCAAAAGTTAAATTTTGGATTGGACTTCCCAGCGAAAGGGATACCAGCACCACTGTCAGAACAAGAAGAAGCACTGGGTGCAGTTGGAGGTGACTTAAAGTAATTACATTATGGCACTGCAAATACTAAGCTGGAATATTAATGGGATGAACTCCCCCAAGAGGAGACGAAGAGTCTTTCATGTATTAAAAAAGGAACAATTGGACTTGATTTGCTTACAAGAAACACATGTGATAAGGCTACATAGGAAACTACTGGTAAATAAAAGATTGGGACAAGAATTTATTTCATCAGACAAAGTAAAAAAAAGAGGAGTAGTACTATATGCAAAGGAGAGCCTATCACCGAAATTTCTTTTTAAAGATGATCAAGGAAGATTTGTAGCAATTGAAATCCAATTGCAAGGAGAGAAGTTTTTGATATTAGGTATTTATGCACCAAACGAGGGAAAATCGGAATTCTTTAAGAAGCTACATGAGACTCTGATGGACTATATGGATTATAATATGATCTTGATGGGAGATATGAATGGTGTAGTGTCTACAAATATGGATAAAGCACAGAGACAGGTAGTTACTAAGGATGGCAGATTGCCAAAGACTTTCTTTGATATGACTGACAATATGGACTTAGCTGACATTTGGAGAATTAAAAACCCTTTGGGAAGAGAGGGAACCTTCTTCTCTGAGGCCAAAATGACATGGACAAGAATTGACCAAATTTGGGTTACTAGAGGATTGGCCCCAAAAACTAGAAAGGTGGAAATATGCCCGAAAACTTGCTCTGACCATAATGCTGTAAAGATGGAATTGAAACTAACACCAACTGGCTCCTTCAGATGGAGGATGAATGATACATTGTTTAGGAACGAAGAAGTGACTAAGAAGGCCCAAAAAAACTCTGAGAGACTATTTTGAGATAAATATGAACACCACTGTAGAAAAAAGAGTAATCTGGGACGCAAGCAAAGCGGTTATGAGAGGGTTCTTGATACAACAGAATGCGATTCAAAAGAGAGTCCAAAATGAGAAAAAAGATAAAATATTGGAGAGAATAAAGGAAGGAGAGAAGAAACTGAGAGTGAAACCAAAGTCGCAGGAGATTTTGAAAGAGATAAAGTTATACCAAGTACAATATATGAAAATGATGAACCAGGAAATAGAATGGAAAATTAAACAGATGAGACAAAAGACATTTGAATCGGCAAATAAATGTGGGAAACTGCTGGCTTGGCAAATGAAAAAAAGACAAAAACTTAACACTATCACAAATTTGGAAGTAGAAGGGAAAAATATACAGAATCCAGTGGAGATTAGAAAGTGCTTTCAGAGGTATTTTAAACAACTATATACACAGGAAACTCAGAAACAAATGGACATTGATTGTTTTTTGAAAACAAATGGATTACAAAAAATCTCTCAAGAAAATAAGCTAATGTTGAACTACAAAATAACGGAGCAAGAGATAGAAGGGGCCATCCAGAATATGCAATTGGGTAAATCTCCAGGTCCGGACGGACTGACTTCAAGATACTATAGATCCTTGAAAGAATGGATAATACAGCCATTAAAAGAAGTCTGTAATGGAATATTGGAAGGGAAAAGGAAGGAGTCGTGGAAGGAAGCTTACATCACACTTATACCGAAAGTAGAGTCTGAGAAGACACAGCTTAAGAATTACCGCCCCATATCTTTGCTTAATGTGGATTATAAAATTTTTGCAGATATTTTGGCTAAAAGACTAAAAAAGGTACTAGTAGAAGAAATCCATAAAGACCAAGCTGGCTTTCTCCCGGGCAGACACTTGTCTGACAACACGAGGAATATAATTAATATTTTAGAAAAGTTACAAGTGAATATCAATACTAAAGCAGTTTTGATATTTGTGGACGCGGAGAAAGCCTTTGACAATATTTATTGGAGTTTTATGAAGAAAAACCTACAGGGGATGGGAGTTGGTCAAGGTTTTGAAAATGGTATAGGTGCAATTTATTCAGAACAAAAGGCTAAATTAATTGTGAACAATGTAGTGACGGAAGAATTTAAGATAGAGAAAGGAACACGACAAGGTTGCCCAATCTCTCCATTGCTTTTTATATCGGTCCTGGAAGTTCTTTTAAATATGATTAGGAGGGACCAAACAGTTAAAGGTATACAAGTGGGAGCAAAACAGTACAAACTGAAAGCATTTGCTGATGATTTGGTATTGACATTACAGGAGCCAGAATCTAGTACCAAAAGAGTACTGGAACTGATCCAAGAATTTGGACAAGTAGCGGGATTTAAGTTGAATAAGATGAAAACTAAAGTTTTAGAGAAAAATTTAACAGTGACGGAGAGAGAAAGGTTTCAGAAGGAGACAGGATTAACATTGGTTAAGAAAGTGAAATACCTAGGGGTTAACATGACTGCTAAAAATGTGAATCTGTTTAAGGATAACTATGAAAAATGTTGGACGGAAGTGAAAAAGGATCTAGAAATATGGTCAAATTTGAAGTTATCATTGCTAGGCCGAATTGCTGTGATAAAGATGAATGTATTGCCAAGGATGTTGTTTTTGTTACAAACATTGCAAATACTAGACAAAATGGAGTGTTTCAAGAAGTGGCATAGAGATATCTTTAGATTTGTCTGGCAGGGCAAGAAACCCCAAATAAAATGTAAGATATTAACTGATGCTAAGGAAAGAGGTGGATTTGCCCTGCCAGACTTAAAACTTTATTATGAATCAGCCGCTTTTTGCTGGTTGAGAGAATGGATGCTTCTTGAGAACACTGATATGTTGGATTTAGAAGGTTTTAATAATGTCTTTGGGTGGCATGCATATCTATGGTATGATAAGGTCAAAGCACATAAAGCATTTTAAAACCATATTGTCAGAAAAGCACTGCTTAATGTTTGGATAAGATATAAGGATTTGCTTGAGAATAAAACCCCAAGATGGCTGTCACCAATGGAAGTGAAGGCTCAGAAAAAGCTCAATATGGAGTCTAAATGGCCGAAATATTGGGAAATTTTGGAACAAGAGGGAGACAGAATAAAAGTGCAGAGTTTTGAAAAATTAAAAAATAGAGTGCGAGATTGGCTTCATTATTATCAGATAATGGAGGCATATAATCTGGATTAAAAAATTGGCTTCCAGGTGGAAAAATCAAATTGGAAACAGAACTGTTAGACCCCAAAACTAAGAATTTGTCAAGAATGTATAATTTGCTGTTGAAATGGAACACTCAAGATGAAACGGTGAAATCTGTTATGATTAAATGGGCACAAGATGTTGGACATAACATTATGATGGCTGACTGGGAACAATTATGGACCACAGGTATGAAGTTCACGGCATGTAATGCCTTAAGAGAGAATATAATGAAAATGATATACAGGTGGTACATGACACCAGTCAAGCTTGTGAAAATCTATCATTTGCCCGATAATAAATGCTGGAAATGTAAAGAGACAGAAGGTACATTCTTTCACCTTTGGTGGACATGCCCAAGGATTAAGGCTTTCTGGGAGATGATCTATAAGGAAATGAAAAAGGTATTTAAATATACCTTTCTGAAGAAACCAGAGGCCTTTCTCCAGGGCATGGTCGGCCAATTGGTGCCAAAGAGGGACAGAACTTTCTTTATGTATGCCACAACAGCAGCAAGAATACTTATTGCAAAGTATTGGAAGACACAAGATCTACCCACTCTGGAAGAATGGCAGATGAAGTTGATAGACTATATGGAACTGGCGGAAATGACTGGCAGAATCCGAGACCAGGGAGAAGAGTCGGTGGAGGAAGATTGGAAGAAATTTAAAGACTATTTACAGAAACATTGTAAAATTAATGAATGTTAGAATGATGTTGGAATGAATCTATGTGATTTTAGCAAAAATGTATCAAAGATTTAAGAAAAATAGACTGTTAATTGGTGAAAAGAGGGAAAGTAAACTTATAGTAAGATCAAGATAAATTTTCAGGATAAGAATTTTGAAGAGAGGGAAAGGATTTGCTGAAATGGATAATTGACTTAGAATACAAAAAAGGGAGGTGTGAGGAGGTCAGGGAAACAAGCATATGAAAGATAAGTTATGGGAAGGCTCGATTTGTCTTCTCTTTTTTTGTATGTTGTTTTTAAGTGTTCTTATTTCCTTGTTTTTTATTGTGATGTGTTGTTTTACTAATGTCTAATCTGGTGGTTTTTTTGCTTTCTGTTTTCTTTTGCCTTTTTGTAAACTTAAAATCTTAATAAATACTATTTTTTAAAAAAAACAAAGTTAAATTTCTGAATTACTCTGGAGCATGACATCCAGGCCTACACAGTGATTTATTTGAAAGTACTAGTTAGGTCTTTGCACAGATTGGTAGATTGCGGTCACTTTAGTTTTCTTGTTGTTGTTGTATAAGCTACTAGATACTATGACAACATACATGGGAACATCCTGGTTCTTGGTCAAGGCTGTTGGATCAGCTTTCCCAGTGTAAAGGGATAATTGTGCGTCTCTCCTTCTTCTCTGTCCACACTGTATCTCCACAATACACAAGACACACCCATTCCAATGGTGGTTTGATGAGCGGTTTCCAAAAGGAAACAAATGAAGTATGGGTGTAGTTAATCACTGTGGCTTTCCCGTCTATGTATATGCAATACAGACCTTTTGGATCCATTTCCAACAGAGAATGGACATACGGCCGATTGACGGCAATTTACAAAGGGGTGTCAGTGAACGACATACTAAATTACCTTGTAGGGTAATGTTTTTTCCATGCTGTGTAGGAAGACTTTTTTGTTTGTTTTGTTTGTTTCCTAGCTAGCTAACCAACCGACCGACCAGAACTAAACAGCTCAAAAGACACAGACCCCTGCCATGTCATTTAAAGTTTTGATTACCATGCAATAATAAATAAGAAACACAGTGTTTTATCCCTCCAGTTACTTGAATTAAAGAATGCAGCAGCCCTGCTGCTACAAAGGCACACCTAGTTCGGCATTCTGTCGTCACACTGGCTCACTAGATGGGAAACTCACAAGAAGGATATAAGCACAATAGCAAATAAGTGCAATAGTTTCTGATACTGGTGGGCATCTATAAACCATCATTGCTAGGGGCCATTAATATGCTTATCCTCTGTGAATGGGCCAGTAACCCCTTTAAAGTCATTCACGTTGGTGGCACTGCGTACATCCCTATGCCTCAATCATCGCTACACCTTGTGCCAGACAATTCCACAGCTGTGTTTTGTGCGACATCGGTGCCATTCATTAAAGTGAAATCTTTCTGGATGGGAGAGCACACAGCAACCAAAAAGGAACACCAGATCAGTGCATTAGTTACATGGTTGTTGTTTTTTTAAAATCATTTAGGCCCATATTGGATTTTTTTAAAAGTATGCCCTTGACTGTAAAGTTTGTATGTGTCAAACTGGTATTTGAAAACACATACTTCACACAAGCACACTTCTCGGGGAGCCTGTTGAATGAGCATTTGCTGGCAAACGGAGGTTTTTAATTTAATTTAATTTAATTTTAAAACGTGCTGCCTTTCAGAGCCAAAAGCCTTGCTAAGACAGCTAACGTAATATACAAAGCTATAAAACACAATTTCAATAAAATGCCATATATTGAAAACAATGGTTAGCAAAATCACAAGCAAGTCCTAAAATAAATTAAACCAGGGAGTGGGAGACTTTCTTCAGTGTGCTAAGGGCTGTATTCTCTCATAGGTTCACCTGCCCGTGGGCCAGAGGCAAAAGCAACTGAGGTAACGATTACCTTTTCTACGGAAGTCTACATTCTAGATACACAAAAAGATCTACCGGTATATGAGAATCCATATCTAAATCAATACTTAAATTACAAAATACTTCTATAGATATGTATATTATCACCATGTGTGTGTTTATAAAGGTATTTCATCCTGAAATATGCACCTGTTCACACATTTTTGTACATTTTTTGTTCAGAGAACTGTATCGCAAATTTCAGATAAGTGTGAAATCTAAAGGATAATTATGTTCTGATCTGTGTATAAGTCCAATAGGTATGATTTAGGTGAGTTCTCTTAAAACTGAGGACCAAACTAAATCATCCTCCATCTTAACACATAGCCGTTGCAATTCCCACATTCAGTGTGGAGCTTTGTTGACCTAGCAACTTGTTAGGAAAGGGGCTTTTGTTATTATTTAAAAAATCCTCACAATTCAGCTTTGAGTATGCTATCTTTCTAAAGGAATGTTGCCTAGTTTGCCTTCTTTGCCATCAAACAGATGGTTCTTGTAGGAATCCTTACTTATCTCCCACTTAGTCATTGGCAAGATGGACTTCTTGTTCCAGGAAACCTTTTTCCATCCATGTATCTATGGATGCAATTATGGGCCCTGGAAAGCTATTTGTTTTCAGGGAGGGCTGCCACCCCAACAACTGGTTCTAAGACAGGCAGTTTCGGAAATACCACAACTTTCTCAAGTTGTCCACATGGCCATATCTTTTGTTGTGTGTCTTCCAGCATTGGCTCATAAACTGGTATAACAATTGTTGGTTTCCTGTTTTCTTTAGTCCAAGACTATGAAACCTCAAGCTGGATAAAAGGCTAATGTGAGGCACAGACTGGACCCTTTGTATACCTTGGTAGCCTATCCAAAGTATAACATTTTGTTAAGATCTGACTGATTCCTGGTATGGAGTAATAAGTCAATGTTTCTCCTTCTAATAGAAATAATTGGAAACTGAGTAGAAGTCATATAGGAGAATTGTGAAATGTATAAGACTAAGAATGCTGGCAATATTGAGGTATGCATGTTAGGGGCAATGTGAATTGTATGGTTAATGTGCATAACAAGCACTCATCATATATCATAACCATTGTGTACATCATCTCCCAGGAGAAGGAAAATATCCACATTCTCTGGAAAGTATACACATTCTCTAGCTTGGGAAACTACAATTTTGTTTATTCTCTGGATAATATGCATATTCTGTGGTAAATGTGTCTACTCTCCTAAGAAACATGTTCTTAATCTAGTCTAGAAGCAGTCAACCAGAGGTGATGAATGTGCATCAACAGCCACTTCTTATGCACATTAATGGCTTAACTCACTTTATTCCTACACATATATACTGATCAATTACACAGTTTTTCATCAGTGCATATATCAGTTTGAGCATGCCTATTTTGTTGTTTAGTCGTTTAGTCGTGTCCATCTCTTCGTGACCCCATAGACCAGAGCATGCCAAGCACTCCTGTCTTTCACTGCCTCCCGCAGTTTGGTCAAACTCATGTTGGTAGCTTCAAGAACACTGTCCAACCATCTTGTCCTCTGCCATCCCCTTCTTCTTCTGCCCTCAATGTTTCCCAGCATCAGGGTCTTCTCCAGGGAGTCTTCTCTTCTCATGAGGTGGCCAAAGTATTGGAGCCTCAGCTTCAGGATCTGTCCTTCCAGTGAGCACTCAGGGCTGATTTCCTTCAGAATGGAGAGGTTTGATCTTCTTGCAGTCCATGGGACTCTCAAGTCTCCTCCAGCACTAGAATTCAAAAGCATCAATTCTTTGGCGATCAGCCTTCATTATGGTCCAGCTCTCACTTCCATACATCACTACTGGGAAAACCATAGCTTTAACTATACGGAGCTTTGTCGGCAAGGTGATCACTGCCTTGCCGTGGTGAAGGGGCTTGAATAACTCAGAGAAGCTATGAGCTATTTCATGCAGGGCCACCCAAGACGGACAGGTCATAGCTGAGAGTTTAGACTAAATGTGATCCACCTGGAGCAGGAACCAGCAAGCCACTCTAGTATCCCTGCCAAGAAAACTCCATGGACAAAAACAACAGGCATGCCTATCTACATGAAGGCAAAAGTTTTATTCACCTCTAGCTGTACCTTCCTCATTTTAAAAAACAACCAACCCATTATTTTGATCAAACTATTCACCTTACCAGGGCCAGCCCAGGACATTTTGCCACTACAGGCAAAACTGAAAATGCTTTCCCCTTTGCCACCACCTCCATTTCTACATATGCCTGCTGCCGAGGCTGCCTTGTCTGCACTAGTTTGTCCTCTTTGTTGCCGCCTCTGCCTTCCCCAGATCTGCCGCCTGAGGCAACTTCCTCATGTTGCCTCATGGGTGGGCCGGCCTTACATCTTGCTGATGTTTATTTCACCTTCTGGCGGGCATAGCCTTTTCATGGAGTAATTTTGCAACAGTTTGAAAAGATCTTTACCCAATTATTCCTTTAAAAATTGTTATTATAGAAAAATGTGTTATTTAGGTTGTCCAAGTTTATTTCTTTGTGGAAGATAAATGTAATACATAGACATCTTTGATTCAGTCATATCTGGCTCAGAAACACTGTGCTTATTTGCTTTATTTAGATGGGAAGATTACTCTGCTTCTTTTGTCACAGGGTGTGATGATGTTCACGGAACTGTAATCTTTTTTGCTGCATTCTGAAAAATCAAACAAGAGGAAAACAATTACAGAATTTCCTGTGTTTATTTGTGATTCGCCCTCATTTTCAAAGTGATTATAAGATAAAAAAAAAAACCTCTAAACCCTTTAAGGATTTTGAGAATGTTTTGGTTATGAACTTTCTGTGGGAAGTAAAGATATCTATGAAGCCAAATGCATAGGCCAGAGGAAATATTTCTGTTTATTTGGATTAATCAGCTGATCATTTTTCAGTTACCCATTATAATGGAACCGATATGTATATATTTGCCAAGAAAGAGAATTTGCTCTTGAAAAAGCAAATGTTGGAATATATTCTATAAACAATCTGTATGTTCTAAGCTAAAGTTACATTTTATAGGACATTTTACTGCTCTTAAGTTGATCTGCCAAGAATCTCAGGTGCTTACGTCTGTGGAAAAATAAGCTACTGTCTGTTGAAGTTTCAATAAAACAGTCCAGAAATTGGATGTTAAAGAAAAACTGACATATAAAATCAATATTATGGTAAAAGACTCAAAGGAGTCCCCCTGCCGCCCGCATCCACTTATTACTTTTATATTTTGTACATTAGAAATCTATACAAGTTTCTTTCTTTTCAAATATATATAGCCTAATTTTAAGAGCTGCTATTCCTCCAGATAAGTGTGCAGGACTGAGTTCAGGTTCCACCATGACTTTTAGAACTGACCGGGAACACTCTTTTATGTGAACTATTGATATACTAAATCAGCTCCACCAATCAGGTTCCCTAAACTCTGGAGACTCACCAAAGCCTGAGCCTGCCCATAGTCCAGTAGTGATGTAAGACAGCTTTATTCAAACTGTACTTGGTTGCCCAAGGATAAGTAGGGATACAGCAGTATAATCAGCATATTGTTAGTAATCCTTGGAGGCCATAAGTCCCATTAGTTAGCGATGAATCTATGGACTAGCATAAATATGCACAACATGTTGTGTTGTACCAGCATAGTAAGCTGACACTACTTTGCCCCTAACAGTCAATGTGGCTGTAGAAGTGTGTCAGAAATCCTTCAATTTTCTCTCCAGATTTTGGAGTTCTGAATTACATCGCTTTATTTTCAGTGAAATCAATAAAGAATATGAGTGGTTAAAGTTCACAGATAATGAATGAATTGTTAGAAGTTACCTGCAAAGACAAGCATAATTGTGGAATAGGTATCCTTTAGATGTGATTTTTAGCACCGCTTTTCTGCTTCTGTGGCTAGCAGGAAGCACATGGATACAGTTGTTGTGGTCGCTTAAAATAATAGTAATAATAGTACCGGTAATAATAATGTGCTCTCAGTTGCACCAGTAAAGACAGATGTCAGGCTTCTTCAATGTTGTTTCATTTAACCATTTAACAATCAGAGAACAGTTTTAATAATTCCTTTCACATGCTTGTGTTCTGTGCTAGCTGCCTCACACACAATTTGCTCCCTCCTGCCTGAGGTCCACCCTACTGTGTAAATCGTCCAGAGGGTTCCCATCCATAAAAAACAAGAGAAATTAAAGTAACAGCAGCAGCAGCAGCAACAACAATTTAATTAATATATCATTTAATGTCAAAATAGGTTTCTAAGCTATTCAAAACCAATCACACAAACACAAACACAAACATATAAATATCCATAATTAAAAGATGGGGGGGAACAATCTCACTCAAACATTAAAATATAAATACTGAGATATGCAATAGAACAATCCCATTAAAACAATACAGCAGTTAAAACTGGAGGCTCAGGTCAAGAGATCAATGCCTGTTCAAGCAAGTGTGTCTTAACAAGCCATCAGAATGCCAATACAGAAGGGGCCTCTTGGATTTCAGCAGGAAGCGCATTCCATAACATCAGGTCATGGCATTGCTCATTGGGCTCTGTTTGTTGATTGTAATGCTCTTATATATATAGACGAACTAACCATATTTCAGCTTTTAATAATACAGAGCGCACGTGCGCACGGTGCCTTATCCACACTACTGTGGTTCAGCACTGGGAAATTCAATGAACATTTGTTGGCCAAGTTTGGATTGAAATCCATGTCATCTCAAGTGCAGAACCAGGAAATCGCACTCAAAAGTCCAATCCTACACGTCCCGTGCCTTCAGTAGGATTTACACCCAAGTTCATGCAGGAAGGATTGTAGTCCATAGCTGTAATTCTAGGAATATTTATATGGATGTAATCTCCATTGGACTCTGGCACAGATACTGGAAAGTGGGGAAGGATCACAAGGTGTTGGAGGACAAAGGTGTGTGGGCCAACTCGCCTGCTACTCTCAGGTACACTGGAGAACACTGTTGTCACCAGGTAAGATTCAACTGTAGTCAATCAGCTTTCGTACATGGAATTGGGGTGTGTGGGCAGTACCAGATTCTTCTTCGCCTCAGGCTATCAAATATCTGGGCCAGTCCTGAGATTTACTTCTGCGATATGCAGATCATAGAGTAGGCATAGCGCAAAATCGAACCACTGTCATTTCATAGGTGGGCCTTCAGAGTTTATGCAGGAACTGGCTTGCAGACCTCCAGGACCCTAACTGCGTAATTTGGGGTTTGGACTGTTGGCATTAATCCAAATAACTTATCTTAACTGGACTGTGGGTCAGGCTGGAATAGGGTAACCAGAGAACCAATTCTAAATGTTTGCTTTGAGGTTTCCTAGAATGAATGATAACTTCTCGGCATCGACATCTGATCATGGAGCTTACCTACTCAAATAAACTAACAATAAGGCAGTCTGTTTTTCTTTAATTATAGTTCTGCCTTGGAAAGAGCAACCCTAGCAATGGTTCTCTGATGAACAATTCCATCCTTTCCACATGGAAGAATCAAATATCCCTCAAAGCATTTGGGTGTGTGTTTTTTAAAAAAGAACTCTGAACAAAATGCAGATACCGTTTCTGGAGTTATAGAGTTACACAAAGTGTTGTTTCAGTATGAAGCCTGCTCTTAGATATCAAGGCCAATATACTAATCTGAATTTAAGTTCCTTCTCCCACAGGGGTGGCTAACCTGTTGTTCTCCATATACAGCCAGACTGCGGTTCTCGTCCTCCCCCTGCCAGAGACTCTCCAGTCACAGGCAAGGTGGTGTTCAGATATCATATCAGGGAGGCAAGTATCCTCCTTCCACGGCACAGGAAAGCCAGCTCCAAAAAATTGCTCCTTGATAGGACTTGCTTCTTCCAGCATAACTCATGCAACTGCTCTCAAAGCTGAGACAATTGGTAGAAGTTGCTCTGGTTGGCAAGGAAATGCGTTGCAGCAACTTGCTATGCATGGAAGCAGCTTCACGACCCCAAAGTGTTTCAGAGTGTCTGGACACCATGCTCCAGATTGTCTCACCCACTGGCAGAGAAAGAGCCAGACCGGTTAGATCCATTTTACAGACTGAGCCCTGAAACCTAACAAATATGAACTCCTCACTCAGTAAACCTACAGCCAAGCCAGGAGTTGAACCTAGATCATCCTCTCTCATTTATTTTGTGTAATCCCATGGAGATGCTTAAGCTATTGCTCCATAGCGCTGTCTTTTTACCACGGCAACAGCCACGCACATTAATAACTAAGTGTTAAGTACATTCACAATGTTGTACACATGTTGAATTATAGAGAGAGGGCCTCACAGGCCACAGTTGCTCATTAAATTAACTTGCATACAACACTTTAATAAAACAGAGGGGGACATGATTGAATTATTACCGAAGGAATGGCTTAGAAAGCAATGATTTAGAGCCAAGTGGAGAAAGATAATTCCAATATTTCCCATGCTGATACTATACATCTGTTCCAAAGAAGCTGAAATTCCATTGTTCTCCGCTCCTAAACGTCCCGATTAGCAGAGCCTGGATCCGAAAGCATCTCAAATATTACTTCTCGGGGATTTTGCCCCTGAAGCGTAGAATAGTTTAAGCATTAGGTACTCTTAATTCACTATTAACTGGCTACGTTGGCAACGGCTAAAGAGGCTGGGACTGTACCATGGTCTAATAAAAAACCCCAATAAAAGTTTTAAACTAATTCACACACATCTGCAATCTGATTACATAATATGTGTCATAGCTGCCAAGGCCTTGCCACACTGCTCGTTCGTGAAGGGGAGGGGGGGATGTCAGTATGATGTCTTCCTTGGCAGCGTTATTATCTTCTCAGGCTAATACCACCATCTCTAGGCAAACCTAGGAACAGATGAGAGGGCAAGGGCACTGTCAAGCTGGCCCTGCCATTAGGCAGAATAGGGTGGCAGTGGAGGTACCCCATACCTTCCTTACTGACCCACCCAATATTCCCTTCTTCTCAGGAAGAGAGCAATGTGTGCCCCCTAAGCTAGCCTGCTTCTCTCAAATGCAGTGAAGGATGTTGTTCTATCACAAGTGTTTATGGCCACATCCAAGCCATACATTTAAAGCATTCACAACATTTCAACATTCATGGCTCCTTCACACACACACACACACACACACACACACACACACGAAACCTGGGAGCTGTATTGTACATCTGGCTGGACTTTGAAGTAAGATTCAACTGCCATTCTGATCTGTTTTATAGTGACTAGGCCACCAAGACTACATAACATGGGTCCTAAAGGACCTACATTGGCTCCCAGTACGTTTCCAAGCACAATTCCAAGTGTTGGTGCTGACCTTTAAAGCCCTCCATGGCTTTGGCCCCGTATATGTGAAGAAGCGTCTCCACCCCCACCATTCAGACTGGACATTGAGGGTCCAGCTCCGAGGGCCTTCTGGTGGTTCCCTCTCTGCAAGAAGTGAAATTACAGTGAACCAGGCAGAGGGCCTTCTCGATAGTGGTGCCTGCCCTGTGGAATGCTCTCCCATCAGATGTCAAGGAGATAAACAACTATAGGACTTTCTGAAGACACCTGAAGGCAGTCCTGTATCAGGAAGTTTTTAATGTTTGATGTTTCATTATGTTTTTATATTCAGTTGGAAGCCACCCAGAGTGGCTCGAGGAATCCAGAAATAACAACAACAACAACAACAACAACGGACTGGCAGGGGCAGGGATATCTTTTTTCTTCACCTCAGGCAGGAAAGGGTTTTCATAGAATCATACAGTTGGAAGGGGCCATGAGGATCATCTAGTCCAACCCCCTGCAATGCAGGAATCTTTTGCCCAAAATGGGGCTCAAACCCACAACCCTGAGATTCAAAGTCTCATGTTCTACCAACTGAGACATCAGGGGCTGCTGTGTCTTGGGCCAGTCCTGTTCTTTGAAATGGCTGTTGGGCTAGCTGACCCATCTGTCCACAAATTCCTTTAACAGGCAGATAAAAAAACCATAATACTTTAAACAAAAAATAATCGCTCTGGACATGTAGGTCTTTGAGATGTTTTAACAAGGATATCAGGATCTTTGAGAGTTATGCTTCCACAACTCCACAATGTACTCTGAGTAAGTAACCAAAATAAACTAGTGTTCAGTCCCCTGCTTTGGAAATTAAAAGAGAGAGAATAAAAGTCACCACAACACCAATATAAAAGATTGTGGGGGGCATTCTTATCATTTTCATTTGCAGTTTCCAGAGGGGAATAGTCAACAGACACTGGGTTTTGTTTCTTTGCTCGGCACCGCTAAGAGGACTGCATTGTAATGCGTTACTGCTGATGTGAACTGTCACTGCATTTACTTTACCTGCATTCAGTGCTTTTTTGGGGGGGATGTTTTCAGGTACTCTCATTTTCCTGCTCATATTGAAATTCTGCCCCTCAATGAGGCCAAACTTAGATTCACAAAATGTTTAGGGGTATGCGTACCCCTGCATCCCCCCCCCCAGAAAAAAGGCACATTCAAACTCACCAATTCTGGGTGAGATCTCACCCAAAATAGATGTGATCTTGCTCCAAATCAGCGCCCATGTCAGTACCATTTCTCCACCGCTAGCAGAGGCATCAGGGCACCCATGGAGATGCTGCCTCAGGGGCTTCTGCTGTCTGAAGCAGTGGCCTCACCCTTCCTAATGGGTGGACCAGCCCTGGGAAAACATAACGGGTCTTTGGATTTTGCAGCTCTCCGAATGTTATGATGCAACTCTCAGCTCAAAAAAATTATGAAAATGTATTTAAGATAAAATATGTTTCGCATACATTGTAGTAAAGTGTGTGTGGTGTGTGTGTGTGTGTGTGTGTGCATGCGTGCATGTGTGATAAAATTGTATTGGCCCGAATATAAGCTGCACCCGCAAATAAGCCGCACCTTTAAAATCCAAGGCTTATTTGCGGGCGCGGCCTGCCTCCCAGCACTACCACCCTGAACAGGGGCAGGGGGTGGCCAGCGTTCAGTACCCTGCTCCCCAAGCTGGCGCCGGCCCTCAGTTCTGAACACACTGCACCCGCCTCCCGGCACTACTGCCTTCTGGCACTATCTCCCTGAGCTGGAGAGGCAGGCGCGCAGCACTCTGTTCTGAATATACAGCAAGCCGCAATTTAACTTTTCACAGTCGGAATTTTTTTTGGGGGGGGGAAAGTGTGGCTTATATTTGGGCCAATACGGTAGTTAAATATATATTTAAATACATTCTTTCTGCAGATCTTAAAAAAAATAAAAAATACAGATTAATTTGGAAACAGGAAGGAAAGGACTTCTACAGGAACACAGGGAGCTTATACCAAGTCAGACCACTGGTCCTTCAAGCTCAATATTGCCTGAACTGCTTAAAGTAGCTCTCTGGGGTTTCAGAATGGAGACATTCCAAGCCCTTCCCAGACAGGGATTGAACCTGGGACCGTCTGCATTTGAAGAAGATGCTCTACCCTTACTGAGTAGAACTGTGAATTTTAAAACTGACACAGACCAAATCTTTCCTTCCCTAGTCCAGATTCCAGAGTAGATCTATGCATTCCTGCTTCTGTATCTAATCATGTTTCCTGCAGTGACCACTGGCTCTCGTGTGAATCTCTTTCATGGAGTCCTTGGGATTGCACCCAATGAACCACCAACTGATGTAATAAAGAAGGGGCAGATTCTTTCCGATTCTAACAGTGCACACGACCAAGCTAGAGACTTTCTTCTGACCTGTGGCATTGGAATTGTGTAGCAAGTGACTTTGGTGCAGAGAAGAGGGGAGCTCTCACCCCCCGCACTGTAATCCATCCAGATCTGTAGGTTTATCTTTGTGTTGTGATAAAAGAAACTGGCTGGTACCCATAGCTAAGCTTTCAGTGATTTTCATGTGTCTAACAGTTTTCCTTTCTGATTACGGCTAGTTCATCTCTGCCAGAAATAGGCCAGGGGCTCGTAAAAATACTTCTGAAGATCAAAGATCTGCCTTTTAGAATGACTTCTGCTTCAACATATTCCTCCAGAAGGATGCCCTAAGACCTCCTACAATCTACAAAGCCTTCCACTCCAAATGCCTTAACCATTCCTCTTATATAAATGGTGTAGTGCCACAAGAAACTACCTTGGTCTGCTGATTTGTCAGAGTGATGAAAAAGCTTCTCCCCTGCCTGCAAAATAAGAGTTTGAAATAGTCACAAATGGCAAGGGCCTGTATAGGAGAGCGTTACACTGGAAATCCCAAGCCAAATTGGGAATGTGGCCTCGGATGAGTCAGATCCAAATTCCTGTGAGTCAGGATGCATGGGGCCAGAGGGATCCTTGGCCGTCGGGGGGCAAGGCATCAGGGAGGAAGGAAAGGCAGACAGGGTGGGGAAAGTGCAAGACAAGCACTGAGGCATACATGAGCAGCAGAGGCATTGCTCCCGGGAGAAGGAAGGCTCAACACAGCAGCTCTCCTTCCTGCCTAATGCCCCAACCCATAGAATCAATGGGCAGGGTAAGGAAAAAGCATTAGCTTATGCATTCCTGGTGAATCAAATGAGCCACTTCATGGAGTGGATTGCCGAAGTGTCAAGGTTAGAGAGAACCTGAGAAGTTAACATTAGTGGAATAAAACCAACATGGCAACTGACTTCATTTTGTTAATGGTGTGGTAAAATCTGCCAATCTTTTTAAACAACAACAACAACAACGGACTTGGCAAGTGCAGCTGAATGAATGAATTTTATTATTACGGTCACAGACCAGTTCTGGCTCACTTACAATACAGTGGTACCTCGGGTTAAGTACTTAATTCATTCCGGAGGTCCGTTCTTAACCTGAAACTGTTCTTAACCTGAAGCACCACTTTAGCTAATGAGGCCTCCTGCTGCTGCCGCACCACCAGAGCACGGTTTCTGTTCTCATCCTGAAGCAAAGTTCTTAACCCGAGGTACTATTTCTGGGTTAGCGGAGTCTATAACCTGAAGCGTATGTAACCCGAGGTACCACTGTATCAGGAAAATCATAAAACACAACAGGAATAGATTGAATTGCAATTGGGTATAACAGAGACAATACAGATATAGCAGCAGTTAAAATATATATATTAAATCTTGATCGCTAAAATAAAACCTAAAATTGTCATTTAAAACCTTAATCATTTTGGTAGTACAGCTTGTTCCCTAAGTTTTATGGCAGACGCACAGAATTTGGCCACGCTTAGCATGGTCTCTAGATCCTTGTCCTCTAGGCAAGTGCAGCTGGTGTTTCCATGAAAGCCATCTGGTCCTCGCCACCAAGGCGAGCCAGTCACTATCTCTCAGCCTAACCGACACTGTCATAAAATTGAGAGTCAGAGAGCCATGTGCCCCACCTTGAGCTCCTTGGAGGAAAAGGTGGTGTTAAGTTGTGGGTGAACATATCAGACGACACAGTGATTCTTCAAATAGCTCTTGTTTATTCACAGGCCAGAACAGAACTGAACTGAAGGGTTCAGTCAGCCTGCTTATATAGAGCTCCAGTACAACGTAACTGTAACAATTTCCTAAAACTATCCAATCACTGAACGTCAATTTCAATCCCTTATTTGCATAACTATCTACAGTATCCCCCTGCTGGCCCAGGGTGAGAACTTCAGTACATAACAGATGGCATATAAATGTAATAAATAAATGTGCAAGATTCAGCAGAACCTGTGCCTGTGTTGGACTGGAGCTGATTTACTCTCCCTTCCCTGAAGTCCCCTGAACATCTTTGTTTGCATAAGAATCTTCGTACTTATTGGGCTAGCACAAAGACAAAGCAAAATGCTGCTGTAATAAACAACATGCAGTGTTTCTGCTGCCATGCCTTGCCCTTGTTTCTTTCTGGTTTATAAGGAAAGGGCTGTTATCTGAAGGATAAAATGAGCTCCTATCCTCTTGCCCAGAGCTCTATTGTTCCCATGTGCTGGGCCTATTTAAGCACATGACAGATGGATGTGTTGCTAGCTTAGATTTGCTTTATTCCGGGGCCAAAGAAGCAGGGAACTAATACAAAAAAGAGTCATTATAGCAGAGAAGATTACCTTTGACAAACTGACATGATTAATGCCAAGGAGAACGTGCGCATCAGACTCATTTCAATGCGCAAGCTCAAGTGGCTGCTGCGCTCTATCAGCTCCGGTTAGCATGAACCACTTTGTCTGCGTAGCAAATTGCTCTTCCTGTAAATAACCGTATATGTATATGCATATGTATATATGCTGCCATTCTGACCCCAAAAAATCTTTCAAGCAAGTAACAGCCAGGACTGAAAGCAATCTATACAATTGAAAAACCAAAATGGCAAGTAAAAACTCAAACGCAATTCATAAAACTCCAGGACATGGTCAGTCAGATTCAATTCAGTTTGCATGTAATTGTGAATCTGCCTATTTTAGAGCAATATGCAAACCAAAATACAGCTGTCCTTTAAAATGTGCACTTCTCATAACCAGTCAAGTTATCAGCACAAAAATGTACAGTGTAATGTGCAAAAAAACCTTAAAACTGCATGTATTAGTGAAAATAACAAACAAAAATGCATTACTTTAGAGTAGGGTTACCAGACGTCCCCGTTTCCCGGGGACAGTCCCTGGATTTGTGAATAAGTCCCTGGACAAATGCCATCCCCAGAATGTCCCCAGATTTCATCTAATGTCCCCGGGAAACGCAGCAGCGGCATTCTCAGCAGCCTGGAGCAGTTGGCTCTGGCTGGCTTCAGGAGCTTCTCAGAAGTCCCCATATGATGGTGGTGCAGGGGCTCTAAGATGCAGCTTCCAGGCTGCCTCCACCTTCCCTGACCCCAGCAACTAAGCTGCGAAGGGAGGCTTCATGCTGCCTATTGGAGCAGCCTCCTAACTCCTACTTGCGTGCAAGCAGGAGAGGCGCAGGGATCTCTCAG